GATGTTACCGTTTTTTATTGGGCATCGAATGTTTAAGAGAACCGTTTTCTCGTTGGGGAGTGTAACAACGCAATATATTGTCTCTCTCTCTCTCTCTCTCTCTCTCTTTCTTTCATTCTTCTGTTCTCGCGTGATTTCTTGGGGTCGCGTCGATTTTTCTCGAGGTTTGCGCATTAAAGTATCCCCAGAATTCACCGTTTTACACGAATCGATAACCCTTATGGAGACGCATTCCAAGGCGTGTCGACCTGTGAAAATACTTATTTTGATTATTGATTATTGAAATTTTTGCTTATTGTTAAATCGAATGTTTTTTATTGAGAAAATCATTGTTTAAATTTGTATATCTCAATTTGAAACTTTATTTCTCAATAATGAAAGAGCTCGGGACAATATTCAATCTGATTTTATTCAGCTATAAAATTTCCTCGTCGTGTTTATTTCTTTGTTTTGCCGATTCACTTGCAGGTTAAGGATTCGAAATACCTAATAACCTCGTTTCTATCTAAGATCCACCTCTCTCTGCACGATCTAGCATACTGAGCGAACTGAGGACCCTCACCTTTCCCCAGCAGTTGAATTTTCTCCTCCGCTTCTTTCTTTTGCTTTCAATTTTTTACTGGTTTGCTTAGGTTATCTAGAGTTAGAAACATTAATTATCTGATTTGATAATTCCTGTTAAAAATTGCCTGGCGCCCCTTAATCTTGGCGCCCGTTTGCTTTCAGCGAGTTTGATTGGACTTAGGGGAAGTAGGGCGAAGGTAATAGGCATTGTCAACTCCCACATGAAAATATCATGTTATTATTGTACTGTTATATTTTCCTTCAAATTGTTTAAAAACGAACAGTCAAATATTGTCTCATGTGATTTCAAATCACATAAAAATTAGTCTAAATTCAAATGGGGCGAAAAAAGTGGAATGCAAAAAAATATTCCTCTAAATCTAAAATTGATGGATAATTTTAATTCAAGGATTTCAGTAAACCAATTATCAATCAAGTTCCGCAATAAAGCTCCCATGAGTTAAGAAGGAAGCTATTGGGGAATAGCAGATAAACTCAAAGCTCAAAGTATTACTCAATCTGATAAATTATACACTAATATATATAATATAAATAATAAATAGACTAATAAATGAATCCATCTATTTTACAACTTGAAAATCATTCTAAAAAAGGCAAAATACCGAGACCTATTTTTTGTCATACTCTCTGCTTGTCAATAGTTTGCGGAAATAGCGTTTTTTTACATGTTTTTTTAGTCATGTAATAACCAATGGAAAGTCAAGGTTATTCTTCTGAAGTACAAATACACCAGCGAGCTACGCCATAAAACTGACGAAGAATTTAGCATCATTCTTTATGACTGCCGATAATATTCACGTGAACCATATGTATAATTGAATACATTAGTCTATTTCGTTCGTATATAATGAACAAAGTGAAAATTTGAGTCATGAAACACATTGGGGAACTGGTAATCGTGATTGTCATCATTATGGTGCACATCAAAGCTTATCCGATATCGGAGAAAATTCAACATGCAGAGAGAGTTGAGGAAAAAGAGAAGAATTTGTTGGAAAAACTAGTAGAAGGAATGACTGGGGTAGTGGAAAATGTCGGGAATTGGGCGGGGAAAGTAATAAGTGATACAAACGAGGGAATTTGGGGAACAGTGATAAGCATGGCTCAAGCAGTCAAACCCCCCACTTTAAATCTCGAAATGAAATTTGCATTACCAAGTGTCGATTTGGAGAAGTTAGCGAAACTACCAGCGGAAACAATAGAGGCTATCATGAAGATCCCTGGATTTAATATTTCAGAATACATATCGAAAATTCCAAACTTGAATGTGCTACCAAAACTTCCAGACTTGAATCCGCCACCAAAAATTCCAGGCTCAAATCCGCCACCAAAAAATCCTGACTGGAATCTGCTACCAAAAATTCCAGGGTTAGATGAGCTTGGAAAATTGATGGGACTTGGTCCTGCTCCATAGTTTGTCGTACCGAATTTAGAACACTGAGGGATAATTTTATTACTGGATTTGAGGAAATTGGAAGAACGTGGGAAGTATGATCATGTTGATGAGACAAATTCAGAAAAAAATGCCAAGATCTTCATCCAATTGGCTCGCGAAAATCAAGAAATTATTGACAGAGGAATACCGAAAAGGAAAAATCATTTTTGACATTCTCAAACCAGCACCTGCAGAGTTATCAGAATATCCACTTTATCGTGTCTTACGTTGATGAGAAGCAACCGACATTATTGAGTAATGAAATTGGTAGAAAGCTCGAGGTTATTATTATGAGTATAACAAATATGTAAGTGGAGCACTTTGTGTGGGTAGAAGTTTTATTTTCAAATGAGACACTCCAATTTCGAATGGTTATTCGTTTACAATTATTAATATAGGTACTAAATCATGAAAATTATACGTGAATCGTTCTGTCAGGGTAACAAGACTATTAAGTTTTCATTATTGACGTGTAGGGAACGCTGAGGTGAATTTACACTCCTTGAATTTCCAATGTGCATTGAAGAAATACTATCATTAAGAATTTCCGGTGTATCAACCTGATCATATAAGATACACTTCGCTTTGCGTGTTCATTTTTCTTCGAAATTCTCTCAGTGTTTGCTTGTCGTTGAAGATCTATGTAGTGAGCTAAGTTTGAAATTAAATAAAATATTAATAAATTATCGTATTCTTTTAAATAATTCAAATCAGTTTCAACTGCAGAATCTGCCCATTCAATCAACCCCATGTTCATGAAAACTTATGGAGGATCCATACAAATAATTCATCATTGATTTTTCCGTCATTTTTATTTATATTTTTTTCATTTTTTGAAAATTATTTATATCGTCGCTACTACTGTCCAACCGTATCGAAATGTAATAGGAAAGTATGCAATACCGATTCCCAGATGAGAGCTCGTGAGAAACAGTACGGAAAAGTGGCTTTTCGGGACTGGCGCCGGCGCAGTATTTTGTGGGCGCTGCGAGCGCTATTTATTAGTGGAATCAGCGTGCCACTCTGAATTGAAATCATATGAGATAAGTCCTGAAATCATGAAATCATTAGAAATCTCTTGAGACCCCTTGAAGTCACCTGAATTATGAAATCGGACGAAAAAGCTTTTGAAATCACTTGACGGCATTTCACTGGGAAAAGAAATTTGCCAAGAATATTTACTAATGACAAGAAAATATATTTGCCATTACTAAATCTTATTGGAGTATTTATGCAGTGATTACCAGAGTTGGAATCAAATATCCCATGAAATCACGTGAAATCATTTTGAAATCAGATGAAACCAGCAATCAGTGTTATTCTATTTGTATTACCCTGCCCCATGTGGCCGGAGCCCTAGACTATAGGCCGGAAAATAATTGTTTGATTTACTAGTAAACAAAAAATGGAACAGTGGTGCACTCGTTGAACGTAATATGACTACAAAAAATTATAGTTCGGATACACATGCAACAGGATATTTTCACTCGTGTGATCGGCAGCCCTTGACTTCACTTTAATTTTTACAGAGTGGTGTACGATTACCGGAGGGTGCATCCGCGGCATTAGCAAAGCCAACAAAGTACCACTACTATCCTCATAATCAGCATATCTATTTACTCCCCGAGTGTGCTGTACAACAAGTCTGCAATTCTGTGTATGTGAGATTGAATTTTACTCAACCACTATGTGCATGCCCTGGTAGGTACAGGGATCCATGCAGTGCATCATTGGATAGTGATGACTTGCACACTACTGAGCTAGTCACAGATCCACAAACTAGGGTAAGGATTCAAAGGATTCCCTTCATATTGAGGAACTTCATCGCTTTTGAATCATTATCGATTCTCCTTTTTCAAAAGAAAACTCTTGAGGCTGACACGGCGAGAAATAGTCAATAAAAATCACCCATATTTTTCGTAATTCCGGAGCGAAAGGTGAAAATTAAAACGAAAAAAGAAAAATTAAATATTTTATTGAGAAAAAAGTTCACGGAGTTGTATTACTAAATTTTTTCAGAGCGTTCCGTTATTTTTGTCTGATTTTTCTGTGGAAAATTACAATACCGACGCGTGAATTTTCTTAGTCACTTCTGCAATCGACGAACGAAATAAATGCCCGTAATTTTTATTGAACGTTTCTCTCGTATGCAACATCTAACAGTCCAATGATTCAACGATAATTTTTTAATTATTATGTCGAATGAAGAAACGAGTAAAGAAAAATTCTCAAATTAAGAGGTAACTATGATTGTATAACTATCATTATATATTCATTGATTTTCATGTGCCAAGGCTTCTGATGATCACATGCGTAAGAATAATGAGTTTAGATCATTATGAGCTATAACTTAAGATCGTGAGTTGAGAGAAAAAACGAGAGGATTCCAAATATTCAAGAAATATTTGTATTAGGAGTCTCACGGATGTTCTAGACTGTTTTAGTCAAATTTACGTTTTTTTTTTTCATTTTCTGGCAAATATAATCGATAGCATTGAAATGACAAAATATCACGTTTGTGCGTTTCGTCATTATTTAATGACTCGCGAAGTTTTGCGCTACTGCAATCGTTTCCATGCGTTTTTTCTGCAGTTATGTGATCTTTTTATAAGTTTAAAAAAATAGAGGAAAATGTTCGCTTTGCTTTGAAACATCGTGAGTCATTTGTCATTGAGTCATTGAGTCATATTGATAGAATGCAAAAACAGCGCAGAAAGATAAAAAAACCCTGAATTTTTGGGAAAAGGGTGTCTAAAATTCTTAAAGCGATTGAAAAACGTTTCTCATTTGTCATCTATTTGGTTTTTTAAAGAATTTATATGGATTTTCTTCCTGAAGGCGCTGACGCTCGTGAAAACGTGCGAACCTATTGCTGATATGAGAGAATGCAGGGCTCCTAAGGATTGGTCGTTACTAGCATTGCAGAATATTAGAACTGGAAAGTCCCACTACCTTGTAATTTGCCGGTGTCCTGATAACAATATTCTAGGTTAGTAGATTTTCTAAGAAAATGAATCTACGGAGAAGGCGATTGAGAGCCGTAAATTGAGTAAAATATCCATTCACTCAAGTTCATTCTTTCCGTCTTTATTCGCCACCATTAAATATCGAGGATTAGATATCTCATCAAAATTATTGGAAAAAATTAAAGCTAATGAAATCATTATTCTATTTCTATTTATAAGGAGACTGGGGCAGTATGTGAGAAGCCATTTTATAAAAATAAAAATTACGTGCCTGTTTCGTAATCTGTGAGTGAAAGCAGTATTCATTAAAAATGACGGAATATAGTTACGCACTTTTTCGTTTTCTATAATTTTTCCTGAAAGTTTAATGAAAAAGTGCGTAATTGTTCCGTAAATAATTCCGTTTACTGAATATTCTTTTGACCCGCAGATTACAGAACAGGTACGTAATTTTTATTGAATATTGCTCTTTGTGTAAGCAACTTATTCCATTGTGCCCGAAGCGCTGTGAATATTTAAAAAATTTCTTAATAATAAAGAATTTTACAAACTTTCTCGTTAATTATTGTAAACTCAGATGAGTTTTCCGGACAACTATCCATTTCTGTGACAATGTTCCGCGTTGCCTGAATTTTTCATGGATCATTTATGGCAAGAGTGAACTTGATCCTAGCAATTGATGGATTATTCTTGTCTGTTTGACGGTAACTTCAAGGTAAATTGTAAGATGACGTTTTGAAGTTTGAGATACAAATCGTTCCGCTTTAATCATGAAATGCAGAGCAAGTTAGGGTGATTGGTCTATTGCCGTTTATTTCAATATTGTTAAACTTTTATTAATTCATTCTTTTTATTTACGTTTGCCTTCTGTTTTATTATTTTTATATTGATTATTTAATCTCTGAATATAGAGGGGCCGATGAGCCATGATCAACCGACCTATGCAAGTGTTCCTGGTATTCGTGTTTATGGAATGATGTGTGTGCAAGGAAATAGGAAAGGACGTCCACTACGACACGGGCGTAATCTACTTGGTAAGTTTAAGGATATTCCGCCATCTCTTACCCACAATTATCGATTTTTACGAGGGGTTATTCATTGGTGATAACGTGAAATCTGTGGAGCCACATAATTTCATCAATTTCATTTGAAATCAGCGGAGTCACGTGTCATATTGCGAATTTAGTTTACTAACACAGGCTCGTTCTCAGCGAACAGCGAAAATTATTGCAGGATCATGACACTCTGCAAGTCATGAAATATTGACGAAATGCAAAATCAATATATATTTTCGCGTTAATGAAATCAGCAATTTGTCAGAAAACTCAAAAAAAATCGCTCATTTTGGATAACAGAGAACAGAACACCTTAAGGTACTTCCATAGTAAATTTTGTGGGCAGAGGCTGGGAATGAACATCAAAGGTTCCGACATTTCGCTGCAGCGTGTGAAAATATCAAGTGTGTAAATTGAGTTCTTCATTAATTCTTTATTCACACCAGATCGATCGAACCAAAAGGATTATAAAAAAAAAATCCCCCTCATTCCACCACAAACCGTTGAATATTTTAAGTTATTATTGAAAAAATCGATATTTTACTTAATAAAAAGTCGTTGAAATTGATATATTCTCACATTTTAGGTATTGAAATACGAGAGGATTCGAAACCGGAATTCCCATGGCACAGCGTTCCAGAATTAATGAAAACCGCCACATGGGACTGACGAGCATATCATATTATTAATCGATTGCGTCAATTAGTATTTTAAATAATGTACTATTTATTATGAAATTCCTGCCAATTTCGTTCTCTATTCATACATATATTTTTCAATGCTTCCTGTACCACCATCTGCTCCATTATTTTTTTTGTTATTTTGCTCTATTTGTCAGCACCTAAGCAGTTCGGTAACTTATTGCATCCTTGCTCTTTTCTCAAGTTGCTGTAAAGGATGTCCTACTCAGTGAGACGCGGCTTTTACTGCTTTTCAATTCATTTTTCATTTTAAAATCCATTTATAATATCTATCGAACGTAATCTTTGGTTTGAATATCAGTTTGTTACCAGTGGAAATCATTCCAATGGTTCAATCGATATAGCTTATTTTATTATAATTGGATCAATCAGTATTTTTTTTATAACCACTGGAGGGCTTTCCGCAAGACAATTTGAAATCCAAATTTAGAAATACTTTACACTAATAAGATAAGGTTCGAACAAAAAATTAAGTTCGATGACTAGTACATGCGAGCCTTATTGTTTACAATTTTGAAATAATCAACCTTTTATGATTCCATTTAGTAACAAAGATAAACGGAATCAGTTGCGAGTGAGTACCAATTAGCTGTAAATTCAGGTAAAACTGTCGAGACTGTTTTTTCTTTGCATTAGATAAGTACTAAATTTAATGGGAAACAAATGGGTCTCTCTCTGCTCTTCATAAATTCAAGTTTTTCCGAAATATTCATAATAACCTCCTCACCTTAAACCACAAAATTGCATTCTGTTCACTTGGATTTTCTATGTCCAAATATTGAATAACTATTTCTAGTGTAAGTTAAGACGAGACAAATTGATTCATCGTTCATTAAAAGATTACGCCGATATTCGAATAATCCTGTGATCAAGGATTGCGATGGTCTGTTTCTTGTAAATAATAAAGAAATACAAAATATAAAACAATAGTAAATCTTTAGGATAATGGGGCTTGTGTAATTTTCACAATCCACTTGCACAGTGACGCCACGCTCTTAATATCTGCTTTTCTAGAAAAGAATATCGGGATCGCAAAGGAGGCGCACGTCCGGAGGTAGGTCCAATCAAGTCTGATTACTTACATCTCAGTCACCTCAGTAACTTAAATGAGTACTTAGACAGAAAGTCTTTCATTTAAAGACTTGTTAGCAATCAGACAGTCCAAGTCACTCATCATCATCAGCGAATCTACGCTCAACCGAAAGGATTGTATGATTTATCGTATCTAGATTATATCTAAATCTATTATAATCTAATATAGGAGAAGGTGGGGCACAATGGAACGGTGAAATTTTCTTTTTCAATTGCTGATTGGATAACGGTTAACATGAACATTCATTTCCTTGTATGAAATTTTTATTTACAAAATTAGGGATTCATTGGGCGAGTTCTTAGTTATTGAAGATTTTGAGAAAAACAACAAAAAATCACAGAAACCTTGAAAAATAAGTAAGGCATTTTTGTCTTCTATTGTTCAGGAAGATTTCTTCCTGGTACTTCGAGTCTGGGACAGATCTTGCCTCGTTGCGAGTTGATGCCAACTCTGGGCTTGCTTGCTGTTTTATTTATTTAGCTTGCTTGTCAGCAAATTAAAACCGATAACGATTTTCGAGATGTGCGAGACTTACAATACCTAGCTGATCTTAGGCCCATTCGAATTTCACAGCCTCTAAAAGATAAAAATTGTCTACTTTTTATTTTTTAAGGTTCCTATTGTTTTTTTTTTGTTCTTTTAGTTTTTGTTGTCTCAATATCTTCTTTAATAACTAAGAAGTCGTTCACTTAATCCATAATTTTGCAAAGAAAAATTTCAGACAATAAAGTCCATTTTGCTTCACACGCCCCAATCTATTATAAATTTATAAGAATCTATATAATCAAATCTATTATATCTACAATAGCACGGAGAATTCAATCAGGATCAAAATATTAAATGACGCTCAATCGCATAAATACTCGATCGACACTTTTTTTCTCCAGCAAAGAAAGTATTGTACAGAAAAATGAAAGCACTACTCCACTTCCATTAATTTACATCAAAACACTTATGCAATCGTCATGCCTCGGAGAACATCTCCTATCTCTTACACGTATTTCCCGTGTTTTTATTTGTGCATACATCTGTTGAGATAACTAATTCTCCGATTCGTTACAACTCTGTTTTTTTTTGTATGAAAAATCAGTAATTACCGATCCAATTAGTTCCAATTATACGATTCAGAAATATATCAGAAAAAAACCAATGAAAATATCTAGAATTTACCAACTCCATGAGATTCAGTTCAAATCATCACTCATTTAGTCTTCGGCAATCTCGGAATGACTCTAACAATATAATTTTAGAGGGAGAAGAAATATAAGGCATCATTCACTCAAGGATATGTACAAAAATCTTGAATATACAACGCTTAAAAATCCAGCAGGAAACATATAATTATGCACCTCCGACGCTTACCCGATTAAGAAAATACCTTTAATCATACTTCGTGATTGGATAACGTAATTTTATGTCCTCAGGTATTGTAGTTCGTATACAGATTTTATCGTTTCCTGGTCATATAATCAGACATTGTGTTTTTCCATCTGCTGTCATCTGGGTTTCATAATTTTTTTTAATGTTACAATTATTTGGGCGAGGGAGGGATACTGTCATGAACAATAAATTCACTAACTATACCTATAAGAACTGCACATGCAAGGTATAAATATCCTTGTGTATTCATTGAAGAGCAGCATTGCTTTTCTCAGTGAATCCCTGAGTCAAGATGATTAAAACTGTGATTATTGGGTGCCTTTGTGCATTAATCGTGAGTGTTCCTGCTATTCAAATATATCGATAGGATGGAATCAATGCTGGAATGGATTGCTAATAAGATAATTTAAACTGAATCCAAAATTGCAAAAAATAATGAAAGATCGTCATACGTAAAAATACAATTTGAGAAGAGCAGAAATTTGATTACTAAATCGTTCTGCGAATGTAGTTAATTATGGATATCCTTGCGTTAGGATGGAAAATCGAGTTTATTTTAAATACAATAAATAAATCATATGCGACTTATCATGCCAACCGTCAAAATAATATTTTTGTTTACAAAAGATCTTTATAATTCAAACTGATAAACAAATCTTATATATAACGTTTTGTGTTTAACCCCGTGATTATGAATAATAACAAACCATTATCCAAGAAATTGTATTTTTCAGGTTGTTGAAGCTCAACATGAAGGTCCCCCCCACAAACCTCCCGGTCCTCCAGGCAGTCATGGACCTTCAACGCAGTTGAATCGAGTAAGTCCTTATCATACGAAACTTTATCAATATGATAAAAAAAAATATCTCCGTATTGTGCATCGAGAACTGATACAGAAGTTCAGGCGGAATAAAGGCTATTAATCACTCGTGATTGATCACGGTTCAAATTCTGCATTGGAATACCACAAAGAGCTTGGAACACGTGGATCACCTTAGAATATTCGTATTAGTTGAAAATTGGTTTCCTCCTATTTTCATTATCTACTAAATCCCAGCGGTGCGCCGTTGCTTGTGTTCAATTATAATATAATTGAATTGAAGGGTTACCTTATTTTTCTGCCATTTTGATTCCTACAGAGGTGCTCCTTAAAATGGCGGTAAACATCGGGTAACTCCTGACATCTTATCGGCTCCTGTTCTAAACCTGCCTTTTGATTTACATTTTAATGAGATGCGCTCTCAATTTTTGTTCAATTTTGTTCAACTTTTAAGACGATCACTAAAGAATTGAAGAGATGCCCGATTTTTCCCGCCATTTGGATTCTTGGTAAGGCGGCCGGTTCTTTTAAGAGCCATCGAGCATTAAGCAAAAATCGCCTGATCGACATTGAAATAAATGAAAAAGTTTTTGCTCTTGTAATACTCTTGTAATGTTCTGGTAATGACTCTTCTTATTTAGATCGCTCGTCAAGCACCACCTGGCGATAACGGCCCAATCCCTCAAGGAATGAACGGTGGAATGGGTCCAGGAAATTTGGGAATGCAAGGGCTTGGCAACATTCCAGATCCAACTGTATGGATTGCCAAAGGACAGGAAATTGCCAGTCAATTCGCTAAAGGCCGTCGTCGTCGTCAAATACCTGCGCCAAAAATGCCAGATGTAAGCTGAATTTGAGAATACCAAATATTTATTATTCGTAATAAACAAATGGAGGATATTAATTTCTATTACTTATTTGAAGCCGGCAAATCTACAAGTTTTATTTACACTATCGGTTGTGGTATCTTAGTTCATGTCATTTCCATTGTTTTAACATTTTGGTTTCTTTAAATATTGATGTTATATTTTTGTTAGAAACTTTGTATTGCAAGGATTTTCGAATCCGGAGATTTGAAAGAAGGGGTAAATGGGCTTGTGAATGAACAGAATATAAGTTAATAATATAGAGAAAAGAAGTTCAAACTATAGCAAGAAATAGATTTTCCATTTACTTTCGGACGGAATACTTCCAATTGTTTTTTTAATTCATTGCAGGGGATGCCACCAATGCCACCAATGCCGAAAATGAACTACTGAGAGCACCTGGAATATCAATTTCTTACATTGAAAATTATACTCACTGCTTACACTTACACTTGGAGATTCCCGCAAATTACAATATCTTGATGCAGATAATAAATGAAGTAATTGAATAGAATAGAGAAATAAACTACTGAGGAGATATCAACGATTTTTACTTTCAATTGCCTTCCTCCCTTAAGAAGTTGTTGTCGTTATCTTCTCGTTTGGCAAGTTTTTTACAAATTTCAGAGAGACAGTTGATAGAATTATCTTATTAATCAACTTCTCACCAAATTTCATCATTGTGGATTTGAATCGACCAATTGATTTTTATGAATTTTTCCAAGTTCTCAGCAAATTTTTGCAAAAAATCACAAAACTTCACAAAAAATGAAAATTTATGCGTTATTAATTAATAGAATGTGAAATCGGTACATTTTCCTATGATTTTCAAAATATTGTAGGTCATATTATATCGTCAACAGTTTAATTGAATGACTCGATCTTTCATTTATTGTTAACAATTAAACATTCATTAAAGACTCGATATAATGTAAGCTAGGTTGTTAATGTCCAATGCTGCATGCTCGATAGTTCGTTAAAAAGTGTCCCTGGACACCAGTTCATCCAGGGTGTGAGGTAAGGCCCTTTGTCTATGGGGTTGGTCGACGTGTTGGGGTGTTTCGGTCATAAACAACTTAACTGTTTCCATTATTCCCTGTGGCCTATTACAACTGGTCGCTTGATCGTTTTAACGTCGAAAATATTTTCAACAATATTTACAAAAGAACATGAAAAATGAGAAGATAACGGTAACTCCTGAAGTTTCCTAGTAATACCGAGAAATCTGATGTTATCATCGATTTATCCTCCTTGAGTATACGAGCGATAATGCAGATCGATAATCAGATAATGTCAGTAACGGTGTCAGCTGCAAAGGTGATTCTTATCTCACGCTTCACTTATATGTTCACTGTCTTCTTATTTGAATTACAAACTAATAAAACATCGGGAAACTGCAAAAAAGACATTAATCGGTGTCAAAAACTGCTTTAATAACTAGTTCAATAGTTCAATATTCGAGTGAAAATTCTCAACGACTGCTATTACTGCTAAAGTGGAAACGAAGACTGAAGAAGAATTAGCATGAAACCCAAATTACCACCTGATAACAACGATCGTTCGTCTCACAAGTTTGAAGCGAAGTTGAAGGACAGGATTCTCTTCCTACCAGTCACCAAGTATGTCCTCCCAACATTCCTGTTAGCTGCGTTACTCCTGACCGGTGTTTATCTCACCATGCGATTCCTTACGATAAGTGAAAATCACTTTAATGGAACTTGTGAAGTGCCGGCAAGCTATCAGGTGAACTGTTTGCCAGACCGTCAGACGACGTATGAGGAATGTACAGAAATTGAATGTTGCTTCGATGCGATGACTAAGAAATGCTATCATACGGTTCCCTCAAGATATGGATACACCAAGGATTCACTTAATCCCAATTTTCTTCAACCAAAACAAAAAATCAGTCCTTTTGGTAGTGAAAATAAACCCGTCGCTGTCTATATTGAAAAAATCGCTGCAGAGCACATCCGCATAAATATGACTGCACTTCAACAACTACAAAAAAACGAACATGATTTGAAAGTTGAAAATACGAAACATTCAGAAAATGCATTCCAGAATTTCTCTACATATTCTACGATGACTATTGAAGTGGAGGATGATTCCGATTTGGAATCGTTATTTTCTGTAACACTGAGACGTGGTAGTGAGTTAGTGATGACGACATCAAAAGGACCACTAATTGTCACCGAGACATACTGGGAGTGGAATTTGTTTCTGGGTAACTCAACTGTTTATGGGTTAAATTCAGCTGAACTGAATGGGACCCTTCATTGGATTTATAACAACGAAGAGGGAATGATTATTCCTGGATTCCTAGGAATTACAAATGATGGCAAGGGGATTGGTTGTTATGTAGACTATAAAGGACCCATGGAAATAGAGGTACTGCAGTCTAATCTCATTATTTTGAGAGGAATATCAGCGCTAGAGAACTTATCAATCAATATTTTTTCTGGAGAGACTCCTCAGCATGTAACAGAACGATTCTTGATGTTCTGGAGAAATGATCATACAGCCACTAGTACCTCAACAAATCTTGGACTACACATCTGTCCAGAAAAGTTGACAGCTATCGAAGATGTGAATGATATGATCGAACAGATGGAAAATCGAGGCATCACCTGGGACAGTTACTGTATTCACAGAAAATTTTATGATACTCTGGACAGAGTTCTTGATCAAGACGAACTGGCGCTTCTGGCTAATATTCAACGAGTTCTCACTCTGAAGAGAAGAACCATTTTACATCATGTCTCAAATCTCTGCTCGTATGGACGAAACAGTTTGGCTTCAGAACTTGGACATTTGTCTCTATTATTAGAGAGTGTACATGGGCCTTATGTAGGAGTCTATGAAAAGGAAAGGGTTGTCTATCCTAACTGGTTCGATAAACTGACGCATCAGAAGTATGATACGGAAATCGAAAGATATTTTCAGGCTTCTTCTACATCGAAGTTCCTCTACTTGCGTGATCTCTGGGCTAAGGACGATTCAAATGTCAGCATGGATTTTCCGAAGTTGGATTACATTCCAAAGGTGAGTCATAGTATTGTGAATGAGGGGAAAATTCATAGACAATTCGGCTTTTATCTATGGGAGGTATGATCCCACATACCATAAACTACTTTCTGCACGAGTTGCGAACGATATTTTTCTTCGCAATGTGCGGGAATAGTATTTTTCGCCACATCCTGATGAAAAATGTAAAAAACGTGAAGTTTGGCTATATATCTGTGTGGAACGTCCTCAAATCAATTCTTCGCGTACTTGAATCAAGTAATAATAGGAAAATTATATTCAAAGGTGCGCATACTTTCATAAAGACAAAACGCTCTTGACTCAAGTCAATTCGGACTCGAATCAAGGAAAGAAACAGATTCAATGACGATCCACACTTATTTTTCCTAAGTATAAGCAAATGTCAAATGTTTCAGGGATTATACAAACTGATGTCAAAGGGGTCGATTCCCATCGACTTATTTTCATCGACCGACAGATTCCACTACAAAGTTCATAATTATTTCGCCAGAGAGTTCCAAGCTTTCATAGGAAAACATGCACAATCAACCGAAGTGGAACTGTGGACTGAAAAATCGAATAGCGGATGGGTTGCGTTGAGAAAAATTCTGAACCGTGGTATTGCTAGTGGTCTTTTAGGGAAAATGCCATCGGCCATTTATATGTGCAGCGTCAGCTTTCCCGCTGATGATGATTTATGTCAAAGGTAATCGTCTATCAAATTGGTGGGATGATACTATCATGTAGAATCTTTATGACACGTCGATCCTCAAGAGTTCCTTTTGAAATATTTTCTGGTTGAATTTATTACATTGCTCCATTATTTTTCACTCTATCATCTTCATTAGTCATTTTCATTGGTCATCCTCATTTTTGAATGAAAGAAGAAGTCGAGCTCCTGCACCTTTTAGCAGAGACAGTAGATTACCAAATAAATGTGTAATTATAATTAATACGGGAGACCTGGGCAAAATGGGACATCCGGGGACAACGGGACGGTACAATGGAATGCGGGGAAAATGGAAGGAATCAGGAGGTCTCGAAGCGAATGGGAGACGAGAGGACAAAATCGATCCTAAGAATCCACTCATCCACCATTTTAGTTTTTCTAGAATTTTATTACACTTAACTGATAAAAAAATGTTAAATTCTCAAATAAGGAGTTTTACGATCAGAAGCAAAAAATGAGCGATTCAAGTTAGATGGCGTGTTTTTGAGACTGTTGAAAAACCGAAAAAGTCAGAAAACAACAACATAACTGAAAGAAAAAATTAAATTGGCAAAAAACACTGGAATACTTTTAGACTGTCTCCAACATTTATTTGGTAAGAAAAAATGACTGGTAATGAGTTAAAAATTTTTTCCGCAAGTGTCCCATTTTGCCTTCGTGTCCCGTTTTGCCAGATGTCGTCTACTTTTTTCTTATATTATCAGATGGTATGGCATTGGCGTTGCATTTCCCTATCTTCTGGCTGTACCTGAAAACATCCCAGGCGGTGGTTGGTTGAGTGACGGTACCTCGAAATACATCGCTAGATTGCTGAGCCTTCGGGCAAAGCTCACGTCTTATCAACATAGTACTATCACGGAATATTATTCGAGGGGAGCTCCAATCCTAGTGCCGACGTACTTCCATTATTCTGACGATGTCTCCTTAAAATACATCGAAAATCAATTTATGTGGGGTGATAGCATACTTGTCGGTAGGTGTTATCACTTATTTTTCCTCGGTCATCGTATTCTCTTACTAATTTTTTGCAGATTTGTAATTAAAAAAGTTATCGACTTATAATGTCATGATATCTTTAGGTAATTTAGGGTTTTAATTGTGTTTTGGCAAATATTCCAATTTTTACAAAAACGTAATAGTTAATCCTATCCAAGCTTTTAATCCTAAACAATTCAGGCGCAGTTACTCTTCCCAACACATTTCAAGTACAAATGCACATCCCAGGAGCACTTCCTTGGAGGCATATTCAAGGAGGTGGCGAGGTCCAGCCGACTGGTGGAATAAGCACTTCAATATCCGTTCTGGCCGGTGAAATCATTACCCTTTTGCGTCCAGGCCACATCATTCCTGTTCACGAGGTAATTTAACGAAATATATTGAGTTTCCAATGCGTACTCCGAAATCGAAAAAACCTTGACTGAAAATTCAATGAAATTTATATTACTATTCTCAACTAAACCGAGCGGAATTAATTTTTTCTCCATCAAATGTATGAGTAATTAAAAATAATACATAAATGAATAATTAATACTTTTATCGAATAAAATTTTCGGCAAACACGATCTTTTAACGTAACATTGTGTTTTGGGATTTTTTTCAAGATAGCGAATTAAAAAAATAATTTCTTAATCACTTTCGGAATCGGTAAGCGAACTGAAGTTACATAATTATCTTTTTTTTTTAATCCGTGTACAAATGTGTTTATTTTGCAGACTCCAGGTCTAACATCCACGGAGACTCGTCTCAGCGTCTTCAAGTTAATATGCAATTTGGCATGCGTTGATGGAAATTGTCATGCGGAAGGGAAAATTTACTATAGCCGAGATGCATTTCTTCACATCAGTGCTAATGATACTTCTATTGTGTTGAAAAGTGTTTTCGCTAAAATTAAAGAGTGCTCCGACCAAACTAAAGTATTAATTAGTTTCATGGAAATTTTGGGGCATGAATCAATTACTCACATCAATTTAAATACTTCTTTCTGTGATGTTGATGTTATAATATCCACTGGGAATTAGGGCAGCTTCCAATAACTCTTTTTTTTATGAAATTTACTACTATATATTATTATTAAAAATTTCCACTAGTAATAGCTGATTGTATTGCTAATTAACTGATAGCCACTTTCATTAGTAATGTTAATCAAATATCTATAGGCAATAATATTATTTTTTTTAAGATGGCAGAGTGAGTCTTTAAAGTTTGATGATTATGTTGTTCAAGCTTGTTCGATGCGGAATCTGGTTTTGGGGATATTTTTAATCGATGGACGAGATAATTTTGGATTACGGGAAGATGCATGAGAGGATCAAGTAAATCACTTGCGTGCTGTGGTCACAAAAAGAGCCAATTTTAATTAATAAAAGAGTCACTAAATACACTTAATGAGTCACAATAAAGAGCTGAGCAACAACGGTATATAATTCAAGGAATTATAGATAGTTCTGAGAAGAACTAATAATGAGCAGGTCTAATTAGAGAGAAAGAAGCGAAGTTCTGCGAAATGCGCGTAAACACTCTCACGGACGATATGCTAATGAGAGAGAGTAATAAGCCGCAAGGTGGGAGGTGTCGATCATCGCGATGGTCAATTATACCTGTCCATCAAGTGGCGCCTCAGGTGTCAGAGGTAAAAGGCCACTGGTCATCTGAGGTGAGCGATTCAATCAGCTGAGAGGGTCATGTGTATTGAGTGCGTGCGCGTGTATGTGCGTGTGAAAGAAAATTCGGTTGAAAACCGAACAAAGCTTTATATACAAAGTTTCAAATGAGAATATCATTTTGAGACTGAAGAATGGATGATCTAACTCTGAGTCCCATGCTATAATATGGAAATTATATTTAATTGAACATTAATGAGAAAATGGCGAGTAATATGGCATCGAAAAATTATCTTTATCGTTCTGTTATCCTCATGAGATGTTCCTTATCATGGTATTTCCAGAGTTATTAAATAACGATAAAATGTGAAAACCATAAACTATTAACTATAACTATTTGTTTACGTTGATCAGATTAACAATTGGCCACAAAACAGTCATAATTTTTGCAAAAAACGCCAGAGACCGGTCTTAACTGCCTCATTTTCTTCAAAGAATAGATGATCGCGCCCTTTCTGTCCTGGGAGTCAAGGTATTCAACCAACCAACCAACCAGATCAACTAATCAATCAACCAGGTCAACCAATCAGCCAGATCAACCAATCAAGCAACCAGATCAACCAAATCAACCAATCAACCAACCAGATCAACCAACCAACCAACCAGATCAACCAATCAACCAACCAGATCAACCAACCAACCAAC